TTGGGAGTCAGATTCAAAGAAGAAACACAATATTATTTCACAACAATTCCCCCTTTCGACCTCATCCAAAGAGGTCGACATCAAACGGAAGAATATGCTTCTCTGCGCCGGCGTGGTTGCATCTCAAAATCAGAAAGTTCATAACCTCTGCGCATTAGGAGCTGACGAGCTATCTCAGGGTCACGCCTCTCTAAAGTGGAAGTGATAAGACGAACTGACAGAGATCTCAGGCAGGGAATACAACAACATCCACATGTGATTAAAATAGCTGCAAATACTGCAATTGACATCAACATGGACACAATCATCTGCTTCCAGGGGCCAAACACTTTGAAGAGCCATTCTTCAAGAGGATTATCTACACCAGAGTGAGATTTCATCTCATCAGACAACGTCCTCAAACCTTCAAGTGCACGGGTCACTTTTCCATCAGGGGCAGTGTTATTAGGAATGAAACTACAACACAGGTCACCAAACATGCTACACACACCTCCTTTCTCTGCTAACAGCATATCAAGAGCCATTCTGTTCTGCACAGCCATCAGAGAAGTCGGAGCTAGTTGCTCCGCTAAGCCCTCAACAGCGTCTCTGGTAAGGTTGGACAGACGCATGACATTGTAATGTATGTAATTTATTAGGTCAACATTTTTATTTGGTGTAATTGGGAAATATGCTGAAACAACAGGTAAATTTTCAAAACCTGTCGCAATCTGATCTGCTAATTTGTGCTCATCAGGAACTCCCCGAGGGATTCCTATGGCATTAATATATGTAGTGGAGCCCACAGTGGGGTCAAAATTATGCGTTGAACGTCTCTTCCTACTGGGAGAGGTGGAGGTGTCATTTAAAACTTCCAAACGAGGGCCAATCAAGGTTAACGATGCAGCTAAGCGTACTAATGCACACAATCCCACAGAATCCTGAGGGATATGTGTTAGTAAACGTCTACCACCACAATAATAATACAGATCAGCGCGAGCCACCTTACCCACACGGGTGTTGTCAGAGACATTTTGTTGCGTGATATTACACCATTCATCCTGAATTTGTCCTAAGGCAACTTTTTTATTTGCAGTTGAGGTGTAATTAAAACAGTAATAGTCAAATCGTTCTACCGGAGTAAACGAGCCTAATTTGGTTATATTAGAAATAATTGGGAATACCTGATCTAATGTAGTGCAATTCTTAGTATATTTTCTCATAGTCAAACTTAACATGCAATGAAATCCCCAAGCGTCCTCTAGGTGTAATGGAGCTGGCTGAGTGTACAAATTTGGTCGAGCTGCAGCACAAGCTACACATTCAGACAAAGAAGCCTGTCTAGCAGCCTCAGCGAGCCAAGCTAACCAAATGTTAGAGTCAGTATAGCCAGTGGACATAGCAATCACATCCACAGGGGTTAAGCTGGTATAGTCAACACTATCAATTCGCATAGACATTGGGAGCGATGACTCCTGGGTCGGAGGAGGAGTAGGGTCTTGAACTGGCAACTCTGTAAGAGCAAGTTGTAGCACCCGGAAAGGGTCCTTGCCAGCGACATCCGCGGCTACAAGCACATAAATGGGTTCCGTCACCAAGGTGTAGATCATCTCACGCTTTATGCTGGTTAACTTATTCCAAGTTCGAACATACTCAAAGGACAATAACAAGTGTCTGTTATTTTTTGCCAAGGTGGCATGTGCCCTCCACCAATCTCTGTAATTAGTCAGATGTCCAGACATATCAGGTTTCCATGATCCCGAATACAATGTGACATAATTCCACTCAGGACACCAGAAACATTTGGATGGATTGGGACATGGACAAATATAAAAGGCTGCACTCGCAATACGGTAATCCGTACAATAAAACATGTCACAGATTGGCAGGCTTAGGGTAGTGGTGGTGTCTTTGGGATACTCTACTTTCAGCACCGGAAGGCCATACGCATCTTTCATGACTGTGTGTGGTGTCACGCTCCTTCGCACCCTGCCTGTTTCACCAGTCTGCTCACACTCTGGTAAACCGGGAATAATACAGAAATATTCAAAAGAGAAAATGAGTGACAACACGATGGATGACAAAACACCTATCCCTATCACCACGTGCTTTGGTGGCCACCGCATTTTGATCTTAAAACAGAAACTGTACTCAATAAATGAAGATGTCTCGCACAGCGACTTCCTCAGCAGACAGCCAGGCAAGCAGTTCCTTTAACACAAATTGAATACAAAATAACACTCTGTTAATATACAGCTTATAATTGATTATAGATATTTCTTTTTAACGTTACAAACTGAATATACTTATCACTTTCAAGCTAAGTAAATAAATGGATGCGCTCTAAATCAAGACTGCAATTAAAAGATAAGAGAAAAATGGTTAGTACACATGTCATACA